GCTCCCCCCCCCAGCAGACCAGGGAGACCCGAGCAAAGCCGCACAGGCGGAGGGACCCTGCTGCCTGGGCGGCTTTGCTCCTGTCCCCCTGGTCTTCTGGGGGGGCGGGTCCAGCGGCTTTGCTGGACCCCCCCCCAGCAGATCAGGGAGACTGGGAGAAGCTTTTCTCGCCCCGGAGGACACGGGCGGCGACCCGCCGCCCGTGAGCTCCGGGGCGAGAAAAGCCCCGTTCGTAAGTGCGGATCCGACATAAGTCGGATCCGCGTAAGTCGGGGACTGCCTGTATAACTAGCTGAACACTTTTCTATTTTCAAACCATTTACTATATGTGCCCCCAGCAGATCAGGGAGACTGGGAGAAGCTTTTCTCGCCCCGGAGGACACGGGCGGCGACCCGCCGCCCGTGAGCTCCGGGGCGAGAAAAGCCCCGTTCGTAAGTGCGGATCCGACATAAGTCGGATCCGCGTAAGTCGGGGACTGCCTGTATAACTAGCTGAACACTTTTCTATTTTCAAACCATTTACTATATGTGCTGAAAAGAACCGTTCACTGCAGATGGTGATTAAGGTTATTAAAAGTGTCATCCTTTCATAGCCATGGAGTTAGACCATTCTCATTATCACTTCATTTCTTCCTTGCTTCAGACACAACAATGGTAAGTGTGACATTGTGCTGTAGGTGCCTCAATCATGGGACCACGCTTTGCCCCATAGCAACAGGCATTCTAGTCTTTCTAGAGCATTTGCAGCTAGGGTGAGGAGCATAATCATCCTTTCCTAGGGGTACCACCATCATACAGTATCACAGAAACGTTTGGCTTGGGCTGTTCACTTCCGTCTCAGAGTCAGAGGGGGGCCGTTGATAGGAAGGAACTGTACTGTGAGAAAAGAAGGCAGATATAATATTTCTAGTCTTTCCCCTGCATGGGAATTATCCCAACGCACCAAGGACTGGAGAAGAGCCCAGCTCTTCAGTCGTTTCTCCTCCCTCTCAGAAGCACCGCTCCTTAGCAGATTACTACACAGATCCCCTGGCTTGGTGTGTAGAGGTGGGATGGAAGTGGGGCAAGAACCTCGAGTCGCCCGCCGTGCTCCTTATACAGGCGTGTTGAGGCGCTCCCCGGGGGCGTATTGCACAGCGTGGTTGACATGAATTGACGCATGATGGAAAGAAGAAGGCTATCTGCTTCCTTGCAGGGCAGGGGGGGAACAGTCCAGGAGAAAGGGCTGGATTAACTAGCAGCGCAAGAGGCTGAGCTCTCCAGGTCCTCGAAGAAGCGGGCGTGAGTCCCATGGCTGGAGAGGGGGAAGCAACCGCGCAAAGGAAGTGCGCAGCCTCCATTTTGGCAGAGGGAGCGAGGAAAGCCAGACTCTCAGTGCCTTGCCGCCTTTGGAGCTCTGAGCCCGGCGGATCACCCCGGGGCATTGCCTGGTGCGTCTTGCGTGTGTCACTACAGTACAAAGGCGCTTCAAATTGGCCCTTTGCTGAGCCTCACGTTGGTTTGAATTGGTCCCAAGTTCCCCGCAGCAGCTTCCGACAAAATGGAGGACGTTACCACTACTACCACCACCACCACCACCAGCAGTTCCTCCAGGAGCCATAGCGGCTGCTGCAATGACTCCCTCCCCCAGCGTGGGTAGGTGTCGGCGGGAGTCTCTAGTGGAGGAGGCGAGGAGACTCCTAAGTGGGGCATGGGTGTAGAGTCTCTGCCCTGGGGGAGGAGACTGCGCTCTCTCGCTCTTCTGTGTGGGAGGGTTTCCATTAGCCATACTCTGCCCTTCATGGAAATGGCCCCTGTTTCATAGCCCTGCCGGGGGCGGGGCCCAACCTGTAAGAAGCTAAGGATGAGCTATGCCAGCCCTGCCCTCGGCGAGCACGGGCTGTCTGGCCCCGTGCTCAGGGCTGGGGCCGTTGTCCATGGGCTCTCAGCACAAGGTTGGATAGGTGATACTCTCCCCGCCCCAGCAGATGTCTGGATGAGTGTGGGCAGCCTTGTATCTAAACTTCTGCAAGTTACTGTCAATCAGCAGCCCTAGAAACCGGAGTGGAACCCCCGTCGCGTCCATGCCCCAATACCCGGCATTAAGTGTTGCTGCTAGTGGGCAACGAAATTCGGGTTTCTCTAACCTGATGGATCAAAGGGGGAAGAACCGTGGGCGTGGTTGGGAGAACGATTGACAGCTTTGAGGCTCAACCAGCTGCAGGATGTTCTGATGGGCCGATGGGTGGCTCAATCAGACTGCCTAACACTAAAGCCCGCCCTCTGTGGGAGCCAATGGGCGGGCTAGGGAGGCCGTTCTTCCCCAAGCTCGGTTGGCCCTGCTCCTCCTTCCCCTCGCTAGCAGCTGCGCTTAGCCCGGGACTGGACCGAGTTAGAGTTGAGGCGGCGGAGGAGTAGCTCGGAGTGCGTGTGAGCGGGGGGAGGGGGACCCGTGCCTGTGAGCGTTGGGGAGCTGGGTAAGGTGGGGACGGGGAGCACTGCACCCTAGGTGCGGAGAGGGGGCAGCTGGAGGCGCACAGCTGCCCCCAGGGCGGGGATGGGAAGGGAGCCGCCGTGCCTCAGAGCCACCCGGGATAAATACCCCAATGTGGCGTCGCTGCTGTCGCCTCTCGCCACGGCGGGGGAGCTGGATAGGACGGGGGCAGCTTAGCTGACAATCCCGGTCTGGTGGCGGTGAGGGGGGTAAATGGGAGGCGCGCTGGGGCAGAGCTGGGGGCGCAGGGGCATTTGGGGGAAAGGGGTATTTCAGTTCTAGCGCCTCCTATTTTAAGTCGCTCCCTACCCCTCCGGGTCTTGGCGGCTGTTGTGCCCCGCTTCCTCGCCCCTCCCGCCCGCGGGTGTCTCCCTCCTTTGCCCGGCGCTGCGCTGCGCGGATCCTGCTGCCGCCCTGCTCCCCTCCCGTATTGTTTGGCTGGGTGTCTCTAATGGCGGACAGGAGGCGGCAGTGCTGCCGGCCGACTGCAGGGGGGCAAACCGGAGACCCGGGGCAACTGCTAGGGGAGCTTGCGGGGGTATAAGGGCGCGATTCCAGCACAGAAGGGTGGCTGCTGGGGGTCCATGCCCTCCCGCGCTAGGGGTCTACTATTGGGGGCTGTTTGGGCAAGTTAGCAGGTTATAACCCTTCTCTGCTGCTGGGCTGCTGCATACTTGTACCTCCTCAGGAAAGGCCCCGGGGTAGATCCGTGAAACCCTTTTTTGGGGGTGGGGGAGCCGACTGTCCCCATAACGCACTGGGAAGGCCATGTGTAGGGAGGGGGAATGAAAGGGCAATACAAGTAATACCTGCCCATGCAAAGGGGACGCTGATGGCTCCCCCCCCCGGCCGTATGTTAACCCCCATGCCTTTCCCTTAGGCTCCAGCCCAGTTTGGTGCAGCCTTGGCAGAGACCAGCAAGGAAAGGAGCTCCATTGTGAGTGCTATTTATGTATCTATTTCTGCCTCAAGTAGCTCTGCCTTTGGGGGAGGGGTCAACCCCCTTCTCCGTTGCGGTGCGGGGTTCGGGATAAGAGGAGCGTTCGGGATAAGATGGGGGAGATGCCTGGGTGCAGCAGCTGCTGCCCTGGGGCGAAGCCCCAGTAATGGCTGTGAGGCGGCTCCTCCTCGGGGTGGGCGCTGCTGCAGGCATCGCTCCTGCAATACCAACTCCTGCAAGCAGACGACGGGCTCCTCCTGCTGCTGCTCACGTTACTCAGCTTGGGAAGGGGGGAGGGCATATTTCGGCTGCCCTCTAGAGTTTTAGATTGTACATTAAAATACACAACGTGACACATTTAGCCATCTTTAATTTTTGTATCTTCCCCGTAACCTGCCTGTAGGAGTACGGGGGAAGGCAGAGATCTAAAATAATCCAGTAATTCGTAGAGCCTTTTCTAGTGACTGGCCTTTGTGTAGTTGGATCAGTTCTTTCTGCCTTCGGTTTGCTTGGGTGATTCTGTCGGGTGCCATTGGCGTTTCTTGTGTCACAGCAATGTTAAGCAACCTTCTCCTTTGCTCTTTCCCCCGAACTCCTGAGGTCACCTGAGAAACTCACAGCTGGGCACTGATCCGTTTCAATGTTTCATCTGTATGTGTTTTTTCAAAGCAGATTGTGTTCTCTTTTGGGTGTTAGGTAAGCTAAGAAGAGACTGAGTGTTGATTCCTATTCACATAGGTATTTGTCGCAGGTTTGCACCTTTTTAGTAATGCTCTTTTCTGCGCTCTGGGCAAATAGGAATCCCCAAATTACAAAGTAGCGCAGTGAAGGCGAAAGTAATACCAATATGTATAGACACAATGTATTTTGAGTGCTCACGAGACTGGATGCTGTCGGTGTTGCAGGTGTTTCTCCACTAGAGGCCGCTGCAAAGAACTACTGATTGCATTGAAATGTCTCGTTAACAAAACGCGCTGAAGGCAGAACAAAACAAGAAGTTACTAAGTACATACTTTGGGCAGTAAACTCGGTTTTGTTCAGGATTCCAGATTTGAGTATTTACATTTATCTCTTGTTTGATATTTAAACATGATATAGGGTAGTGAAAGAAACTAAAAAATTATTTTTCAGTAGCATTGGGCAGTGTCTTTACTTTGCGCTTTTTAGTGTTATGTGAATAGATAGAGACTAGGTGGCTCCCTAAATAAATCCATGGCTCTAATCCTTTGGCATTCAAGTTTTGATTTATTCTGAAGTTCTAAAATGAGCAGTAAAACTGACCATTAGAACTCACTGCTTCTAATTAAAGAGCCTGTTCTAATATAAGATATTTTTTGTTTCTGTTCTGCTTGTGGTATAACTCTATCTCCTTGCCTCAGCTCTGATTCATTATATATTCCAGTGTAATAACTATTGTAGATTTTGTTTATAGTGCATATTCGTGTAATAGCTAAGTTCTGAGTAACATACCTTATGTCAGTCAGCATTGCAAAATTTCACTAGCCTTCTCACCCAATACAAGTAGGGTTTTTTTGGATAAGTAAATGTAACATCATTATTACTACCACTCACAATGGCAATGGGAAGGCAAGTAGATTTTTGTTTCAGAAGAATATCTGTGTTAATCTGTTTCAGCATAAGCAACAAGGAGTCTGGGACTAGAACACTTTCATGACAGTCTTGCTTGGCTGCCTACAAGAAGGCAAAACCAGACACACAGTATGCTATATTTTGTCTATATAAAACTACAGATAAGAACCAAACATCTTGAAGTAGTATGGTGTTTTAAAGACAGATGAACAGAGCAAATCCCTTTTTCCAACTCTATTTATCTTAATAAACTAAGTCACTTTTAATTTTTCATTGACCCTAAATCTTTCATTCCATTCTACTGTTGCTTTTTCTTTGGAATAAAATGTTGGGAAGGATGATTTTGACAAGTATATAAAACAAAGTGAATGTGAAATTTTGTATCTTCTATCATTTGTTTAGCACAAGCTCAATTATGACAGCATGTGGGAACAAGGAAAATCTCAGTTGATTTCTTTTCCAACTCTTTTGGTAGATATTGTTGATGCTGTATCTTGTTCAGTACTACTAATTTAACATTGTGGTGGCATCCTTTCATCCCCAAAACCTTGTGTCTTGTACAGATAACTATTGAAATCTAGTTTACATCTTTTATGGTGGATGGCAACTAACATACATATGCTGGACAATAGGGAAAATGGGGGAAATTTGATCAAGGACACCAGGGCCAGTACTGCTGCTAATGAAAAATACTACAAAATCTTCAACACTTGTGCAGAATGGGCCTTTTACGTTAGATTTTCTTCCAAAATGCAGGTTTTCCTCAAAAGGCAATGAATTCTATCTAAAGTACCCAAGAACAATGAAAGTCTAGCTGAATGAAACCAGTTGGGAAGAGAACTCCTCTGCTCTAGCTGGATAAAACACTTGTTTAATGTAGATCTTATAACTATGTGTGTTGAGAATCTTGACTATCAGAGTTTAGTTTTGTATCCTGTTGAAAGCAGTTCACTGCAACTTGTTTTAGTATTAAAGCCAAATTTTTGCCTCCAGTGATTTAGGCTGTCTCTACACTAGCACTTAAGTCAGTAAAACTTTTTGTTGCTCAGGGTATGAAAAAACACTACCGAGTTATGTTAAGTTTTGGTGGCATAAGCACTTATCTGCACAGAGCTATGTGCACTTTCCCACTGATTCAGCTACCACTGCTCATTGAGCTGGTTTTATTATGTTGATGGGAGAGAATTGCATTGGCGTTATGTGGCTATAAGAGTACCCTTACACTGGCATAGCTTTATCGATACAGCTCTGGTGTTCTAAGTTTGTAAATATAGACATGGCCTTAGTCGTCTTGTCTTCCTGAAGCCTGTGACTTAGATTTCTTATGGATGGGAAACTAATAAGTTCTTTTTTGAACTCTGTTCCTTACTACTTGTAGTCTGCCTACTAGTAACAAATGTTGCTGAAAGTGGAAATTGGTATATCCTGAGGGTCCTTTGTGCAGGACCAAAGCTCACTTCCTAGTCACTTGAGTTAACTTCTTTCAAATGAAAGATTTAAAGTAATGGATTAAGATTACGAAAACACCTATGGTGTAATTTTCATCCCCTTTTCCACTTAATACTTTGATATATTGATTAAACTTATAGGTACTTAAATAGTAGAGCATTTTTTGGTAGTCTATGTCCACTTCCAGTTTCTAGAAGTGATCAGTTATAAGATAAAACATAATTAATCTCTGAAACTCAGTGACTCTAGATATAATTGAGTTAAAGAGTTTTATAGTATTCACTAAAAGGTTTTTTTAATATACATTAACAAAGTTACATGAGAAGATTTTTTTTTTTTAAAGAAGGAATAAAGACTTAGAGCTTCAGGACTTAACTCTTATCAGTTAGAGATTGTCTTAAGAGACTTTTTATAAATAGTTATTTCATAATTGTCCTCAACAGGGTTTCTTGTATCTTCCTCTGAAGCATTTGGTACTGATCAGGGACAGGATAGTGGTTTAGGTAGACCGCTGTTCTAATCTGATATGGCAATTTCTGTGGTTGTGAAACAACCAGGCTGCTTTCTGCCAGGTGTCTAATTTGGTCCTAGCTTGTATTGGTGTGTGTGCAAATTATTTTAACTCTGTAAATGTTTCCCAGTTATTTCTGTTAATATTTACAGTTAGTGAAAGGCTTACTAATTCAACATATCTAAAATGATTCAAGGTCATTCAATTCTATACTCAAATGAGCATTTTCAGACTGATGCATAGTCTGTATAAACTTGACACTAAAAACTTTTGAAATAGAATATTGTGTGGGTGATAGTCCTACAGTTTGTTTTAAAAAATGGTTAAACTCTATTCTGAGCCCATCCTGCCCCCAGTCACACTGAATGACTATATAATGATGATCTCATACTTAGGTGTTAGTCTCACTTCAAAATTTACATTCAAGATTTTTAGTAACCTAATTTTAAATCTTGCTTTGCTGTTGTACTTCAGGTGTTCACTGTTTTAGGTCCCTAGAACAGAGGTTCTCAAATTTTTCTTATTGTATGTCGCCTTCCGGATCTGCTAGCTGCCCACATTTCCCTACCCTGCTCATCACTGATACTGTGTTAATGCTATCTGTCTTTAGCCATCTACCCATATTTCACTGTTATGTACAAATGTATAGTGTAATGTATACAACTGGAAGCACCCTCCCTTCCAAGTTTTGAGCTTAGTTCAACTGGACAGTTGCTGGGCAACTGAACGTGTGCTGTACAGTGATTGGAGATGAGAGCTCTCTATGTCAGCAGTGGTATGCTCATTGGTACATCTTGAAATAAATGAACTACAGGAAACCCTTGTCATCTGCGGTGGATGCATTTCCCTGCACCACTGCACATGACGAAATTCATGAAGACTGAGAGTTGCAGCTCCCAGTTTCAGTGGTGGGGAATTCACTGTGGCTTCTTGTTGCCCCATCCGAACTCCCACCCTCCCTTTTCCCCAGGCCTGGGACAGGAGACTCCTGTGGATATGTGGAACTGTGAACAGTAATTCTGCAGATCGTGAATATTGATTTCACAAATCCTGAGGAGGTGTCTCTCTCTCTTTTTTTTTTTTTTGTCTGAGTAACCTAGTATGAGAGTTAAATAAAATTCATTGTTACACAATTTCTCTCATGTCTTGCCTACCCCCAGGGGTACATGTACCACAGTTTGGGAACTCCTGCTTTAGAACGTTCAGTATTTAAATGTATTGCCTCTTCATAGAATGAGTAACACGTTTCTTGCAATAAATCAGTCTGCAAAACTAGATACACGCAATACTAACCATGTTCATTTAAATAAATGTGGTGCACTTTCATTTTTGTCCATGCTGAAAAAGCTTTCTTAGGTTACTTGGAAGAACTTTATTTTTATTGTGAGTGCACCAAAGGTGCTAATCCAGACGAGCTCCATAATGTGACAGATGCAGTACTGATATC